CAAATCTGTCATACACTGTCACTAAGAACCCTAGAATATCGACGTGATGGAATATTTTGGGGTTTTTCTTTCCCTCAGAAGATTAAAGATGCCTACGCCAATAATTTTTTTGGACTTGTAATAATTGCATCGTATTTGAAATCATAAGTATTTCTAATAAAAGTTTCCTATATATTTTTTTGTGAAAGGAATCGAAATTAAAAACGGTAGTGGCGTCAAAATTCTAGCTGTCTCTGCTATCATTGGTACTGGTTGATATATTTGTAAGAAAATTCTACAAATTTTGGTCTAGGTATAATTAGTAAAGTTAGTCATTAGCATAAGTTTCATCAATCTGAGTCAAACATCTTAAGAAATGTAACGAACCGTTTTAAGGCCATTTAGATGAACCTTCGTTCTTAGAGTTAGGTCTTCTTTAATATAGTTTATTTACTAATCTATCAAATCAATTGTGATTCTGATTTATACCAGTTTGCACCGGAATTATACCCTTGGTTTTATAACTAATGGGTATATTAAGAACAACTTCGTAATGTCGTTTCTAAAGTTAAGTTACAAACCGTACTTACAATTAGTAAAGTACAACTTTATAGCAGCAACTACGCAAAAATCTAGTAACTTCTAGTAGCTGTCGTACCTTTATGTTAGCTTCTTCATTTATCTTTATTTTTCTTCAGTTCATATCGTAGTCCTATCATAAGATAGGTACCATAGCAAAAAGTAAAAATTAAACACATTAAACAATATGGGTTTCCTAGAGGAAACCCCATAACTTATAATTTCTAAAATATCTAGGTCATCTTAAAATATGTCATTTATTCGAACGTATTTGTACTTTTTTTAAATTGAAAATACAAAATACGGACACAACAGGCACCTACTTAGTTCTGCAGAAGCCCAAAACGTGTTGAATTAAAGAACATCTTAGGTAGACGTTAAACGAAGGCTTAAATTTAAGCATTTGTATTCTACTTCTGAAGAGCTTGGTGAACAGTGCAATGAATTAAATTTCAAACACTTTATCGGAGGAAGTGTTTTATTAGCTACAACTATCTGTGAACATTAACGTTTATGAACTTTTGATAAAATTGAACTCAACAATTGCAAAAATGTTTTACTGCCATATTTCCATTAAAAATCTTTTTTACTAAAAAATATTGACCTGGAATTTTTTTTATAACCTGTTTTTGGTAGGTACCTAAACAAGCTAGTTACAAACGCTTCATTTGGTTTATTACAGATATTATAAATAAATAAATTACTTTATCCATGCTCTTCCCCATGCTACTACCATATCACTTTGTTCTAGATACTTTCACCTTTCTTTTTAACTAAGGAAATATTAATTTTATAACAATATGAGGTTTTATTTATTTATCATTCATCTAAAATATTTCTTTTTTTTTAATTAGACTTATTTTTGGTTAATACAACATAGGTAATAGAACATGTTCGTAATCAATCGATGTGAAAAGTTTATATTTATGTTTTGGATGTGATTACAGTTTTACTAATGCTTAAAAAAAATTAAATGCAGTAAAATTTACGATCGTGCGTAAATATAGTTTCCCCCAAAGAGTTCATCAGTCAAAGAAGCAAATCAATAGACATGTTTTTAGTCTGAATAAACAAAAAAATTACTCACAAATAATGTTGAGAGAATACTGGAAAGTGAATTACGAAAATACTAATTTGTAGGTTTGAAAAATAGACAATATATTAAATTTAATGTTAAAAATTACTTATACTTATTCTTTAAATTTAAATAATATACAGCGCTATCCAAAAAAGTTTGCACTATATGGGAAAAATCTTCTTGTATAAATTTAATAAATTACTTCAATTGTCAGTTGTCTCTGCATGTCGTCAAATCAAAATAGCACCCATCGAACCTCATAAAACGTGTGTTATATGCGAGGGGAAGACAAAAATTGCAAATCTGTCTAAGAGTAAAGTACTTTTATTTTTAACACTAGGGGAAAATACACTGAAATAAATGGGCTTATTAAACTGTTTATCTAGAATAATGTGTATAGCGCATATTAAAACTTTTATAACCAATATACAACTTTTATTAAAAAAAAGCAATCATCCTTATGCATCTATGAAATAAAGGTTATAATGAATTACTTATACATTATTATGTGTTATAGACTTATGTTCCAATTGTATAGTAGGGAAGATTTGTTGTATAAAGACAGTATCTGAATTTCTATATAACAATTGTATTAACAGAATTATTCGTTCTTATACTGAATATGTTTCCGTTTTTAACGTGTAAAACGCGTCTTATAATGGTTAAGTGATCGTCGCCTCTCGATGCATAATCGGTTATGATCGTTGTTAAGTTATATTCATAGTCTTGTAATAATAATCATATGTCAGACCCGAGAGCGATATGCGCCGACTCAATAAGAAACCTGGCTATTCCATCCGCTGATTTAGGGTTCGCCGCACGAGCTCATCATCCCTTCTAAGATTTCAGTAGCAACTATGCATGAAGCAGAACGGTACTCAACTATCTTATACAGTCCACTTTTATTGTCCATAGATGTTCAATCATTGGCAAAATAAACACACAAAACCACAACGTCTTTATTATATTTACTCAAGAAGAGAAAATACAACAATCGTAAAATTTCCGACAGTCCGCTGTACATCGACTTACACAGGTCTAGTTTGATGAAAATGGACAGTATATGCACATGTTTTGTGGGATACATGATCATATCGCGTTGTGTGAAATGGAAAATTATTATGTAAGTATTTAACTGTTTTATGGCTTGTAATTGTTTTGTTTTTTTCAAATGTAAATCTTGTCAAAATCTTAAAAATTATTATTTTGTAGATCCTATTAGAAATCGCTGATGTTAAGTTTTACATAAGATGGAGGAACAGAAGGTTAACGGTGACAAAGAAAAGCATGGGTATAAGGTCAATAAACCAGAGGAAATAAAATTATATGGAAAGAAGCTCAACCTTTCTGGGGATGCTTCATTCTTAAGGTGGAAGAGTTATAGTGCAAATTCTCATGTAATACAAGAAAATACGGGTGCATCGTTGCTAAGAAAATAAACTGGACAGTTTTGGGAGCGATTTGTCATCATTTTTAGTGCTTAAAAGTATGTTTTATGTATGTTTACATTAGAACCTTAGCTTGTAATTACAGTTATCCAATAAAATTTCTGAAAACTTAATGACATATGTTTTTAACTCATACAGAGTATACAACAGTTTAATACATTTATTATTATAAAACTTATAACCAATACTAGATGTTCTAATAACGATATGGAATACTTTAATAAAGGGTATAAAAAACGTTGTATACTAGTTATACAATAATTTAATAAAGAATAAGTTTTATAGTCACTATACAACTGTCATATTCACCTGTTTAACTGTCACATATAGTATACAATGGTCTTATAATGGTATATAGAAATCTAATAAAGAATAAAACGCATTTCTTTCAATGTATTATAAAGAAAAATTATTTCCCTCTAAAAAATTAGCCCGAATATAAAGTTTGTGCATTATGTTGAAAAAGCGATTGCTGACATTTTTGCAACTTTCCCTCGTACCATAATTCGAGCGAAAACATACATTACTATATCACGTTTTTTTAATACGCTTCTACAAGAAAAACATTATAATTCCTGAAAACAAGTTGAATCAGGAACTAATAAGGCCGTTATAAAAAAATAAGAACAAATTTGGTGCAAATTTTATTTTATGTTCAAGAATTATACTAAGTAAAATGGCAAACCTCGTATACACCACTAAATTAACAGTTACAATTCGTTCGTTCAAAAAATATTAACCATGATTTCTATAAGGTGGAAACAATTTTTATCTTACAAAGCAATGCAAAAAACAATCAACTTTTTGACTACGGAAAACCCTACTTCTAAGTGAACCATTGTAGACGATACTTCTTGAATAACATTAAATTAACTTAACATTAAATTATTCTTGAATATAAAATAAAATTTGCACCAAGTTTCTTCTTATTTTCTTCACCATTTTTTATAATGGCCTTGTTAATTTCCTGATTCAACTTGTTTTCAGGAATTATAATATTTTTCTTGTAGAAGCGTACTAAAAAAACGTGACATAGTGATGGATGTTTTAGCTGGAGTTTTGGTTCTAGGGAAAGTTGCTAACATTGTCAGGAATCGCTTTTTCAACATAATGAACTGAAACTTTATATTCGGGCGAATATTTTAGAGGGAAATAACTTTTCCGCAAAACATTTTCCCCTAGGGTTGAAAATAGGGGTACTTTATTCTTGGGCCAATTTACAGTTTTCGTTTGCCCCTCGTATATAACAAACGTTTTATGAAGTTCGATAGGCGCTATTTTGATTTGACGACATGCAGAGACAACTGACAATCGAAGGAATTTATTAAATATATAAAGTTTTTTCCCATATGGTGCTGTATATGTATGTCGTAGGCTAATTGCAAATTCAGTCTTTGACTGAATATTTTAGCCGTTCTACAAAACGCCGAATAAGTTTTATTGTAAAATGAACGTAAAAGCCAATATTTTTACATTGCGCCTAGAATAAACTTACTTTTCAGTACGCCCAAATTCCATTATTGTACGTCAAACGTTTCAAAAAGTGATATTTTTCAAAAACTTCCTGTATCTTAAAAACAAGGCCATTTAGGGCATATGTTTATATGAATTTCCGCCGTCGAGGTATCTGAGATACTTCCTATATGATTTGTATGACAAATATTAAGCAAAAATGATTCTCTCCATCATTTATGATTAAAATTAGTTATTGTATAATTCATATGCGAAGTAGGTATCTCGGATGCCTTGGCGGCCATCCTGTATAGGTACTTAATTAAATTTGCTAGTACTGATTTTGTCTGTTTTTATAATTTACAATTCGCTCGCGTCGTGGCACCTTACCAAAATTACATATTAAAATAACGGTTTAGAGTAGTAAACAACCCTTGCTTAATTTTTCATTATTTTAAACAGAGTTACCTCATGTTTTGGATTTTGATAGAAGTTTTCCCATTTCCTATCCTTTTCTGCTCTTCGTGCATCCTTGCGATCCTCATCTGCATCTCCTTATCGACGTCTGCCACATCTTTCTCACCATTGTTCACACTATGCAATTGACGTCTATTCACATTGTGTTCAGGTTTTTTATGCACTTTCTGCACTTTACCTAAGCGCATAGAGAGCATTACTCTCACACGTATATGCCGTATCACATATTTTTCAGTTCTCAATTTCGTTTTCAAAGAATTTTTATCTGAGTTTCGTAAAAATCCATTCTGATGCGACTTCACCAACCTCCGATCAAAACCGAAGTTATTGCAGACGTGACTGTGATTCGAATGAAAATCGTAGTACTTTTTCGCTGGTGCTGTAGAAGATGAGTATATAGGATTGAAGTAGACATAGTTAAGGGAGTTGTTATTACTGTTTTCTTCAGAACACTCATAAATAGTGTCTTCGTGCAAATTCGTTTTAGAATTTAGTGTATTGTACAGAGCTATGTTTTTACCTAAGTTCGTACGTTTAGTTTTTAAGGTTTCTAATTTATTGTCTACGGTTTTCGTAAAATGGCTGTTTTCGTTTTTGTCATAAAGTTCGTTCACGGTAAACTTGCAGTTGTAGCTTTTTTTCTTCCTCCTTTTAGGTTTGATGTATTTCCATATTTCGAGAAATACATTGCTTTCCTTGTTTTTGTTTATCAGAAGGCGTTCTTTGTAAATCTCTGGTAAAGATAAGTCACTACTTTGGTACTTATTAAAATTTTCCGGGAAATTTTTCCTGTAGTTTTCGGAAATTTTATTGTACAACAGAGACATATTTTGTTGTTCCTTTCTCTCGGTGATTCTCAAAGTTTCGTCATGTATACTCGAATCATCCTCAGAATTGGACATCGTTTCTATTTTATTAAAATCTTTCTGAGTGTTCCTACTATCTTCATTGCGGTCTAAGTTACTTGTCATCGAAATTAAATCTTCGACATTCGATAACGACACTGAGCTGTCGTCCGAAACTTCTTGATAAGTTTTCTTTTCCATAATAGCGTGTGTTTCTTCAACTATCACCAAGTTCTCAGAAGAATTATTGCGTCCTAAGTCAAGCAAATGGCTCTTGTTATGTACCCAACCCTTACTGATAGTCCATTCTTTCAACCACTCTGGTTTATTTAGATTTCTCTCATTCTTCTTACTTTTCACTTCACTAGACTTCCTCAGTATGGCACGATTTTTATTTTTGTTTAATGATTTCGAGTTCGGATACCATGTTCCTTTTTCAAGCACTATACACAAACACAGGCACCTGAAGACACTCGCTAATATTGACATTTTTCGTTTTCTAACTCTACAACATGTTTTAGTTCTGACTGTTCATCATTCACGCACGGTTGTACCAAACTGAAGCCGATATGGAATCAAAAATATAAAACGGATATTCTTTGTTAATTTTGTATTGTTTACAGAATGACACTGTGACCAGTCATGTATTGTGCCGGTGTGCTGTCGTGTTTTGTATCTTATTAGGGAGGAATAATTGCGTTTATTGACTTTTTGAACTAATGCACAAGGTGTTATAAATGTAGTATACCGTACGGGCAATATTGTTTCGTGGATGAAATATACGTGATTTGACAATGTTTGATATTCAAAGCGAAAGTAATTTTTTACAAAAATATTACGATGGTATCACAAATTAGTAAGTCAATTCTTTATTGATAGATTACTTGGACGAGAATAATACGACTTACACAACGTCATTTTTAACGCGCCCGCCCCCCTCCCCATTTTCGAGATAAAGAATGTTAATGTTAAGATTTTAATAACTTAAGTTAAAAAAATCGAAGCGTAAGCGATCCCCCAATTTTTTCCAACGCACTTCTATGGTTAAAAACTGCAATCTTTTATATTAAATTGTTGTTTCTCTAGTTTACTTCACCTATTTAAATTTTGAATTGGCTTGACTTCTAAAATTATAGACATCTCTTTAATTATGTCATAGAAATCCTCAGTTTGAATTAAACTAGGCTTAGAGTCTAGAATCCTTAAGAAAAGTGTTTTTTAGAGTTACAAGTATTGACAAGGGTTGTGTTTGTCATAATAATAATTGTCATAATTATGTTACTTACCTAGTTAGGAGTTATCTAAAGATACTTGGAAGACTGTGAAGGGACTAACAAAAAAATGATAAAGAAATAATAATTTTTCCCACGAGCACATATAAAGAACTACACACTGCAACGTCAATGTGACAAAATGACAAAAAATGTCAGAAGTTATTAATAAAATTTCTTTTTAAACTCTTAAATTTAACACCCTATATCTCGAAAACGAGTAAAAATTAAAACCGGCATGTTTCTTATTTATTTATTTAATAGGGTATTTATACTGCACTGAAAATAAAAGAGTTGATTTTAAACATTTAGTTTTGCTTAACCAGAAACAACTCACACTGGGAAAGTAGATAATTCTTCGCGATACAATATTTATAGCAACTATATTAATAATTTAATCGCAGTTTAACAATATAATTTTGATAAATTAAATAATTTTTTATACTAGGTACGTAAATGATAAAGAACAATCGATTTTTAGAAACTGAAAGGAATATCATATTACCTTTTTATACGTTTTAATAAAAAAAAAAAAATGACAATAAAACAAGTGTATGTGGGAAGCCAACAAATACGAATAGGTATTTAAATTTCAATACTAAATAACATTTTATTTAATTGACCATTTATCTCAAAAACAGTACATCACATCAACAATAGTACATTGTGTAACGACACAAAGTAGCCAATAGCGCCACGAGGACGCAGTTGACGCACGAGCGAAGCGAGTGCGGAAAGCGCCCAAGTGGCGCTATGGCAACTTTTCCGAACGAGTTGCACATAAGGTTTTCTATCACGCGAGCTCGCTATGGGACCTATAGTGTAGGGGGTTAGGTGCACTGGAAAGTGCTAGATAGTACAACAGCGTGATGTTATTTTCATAGCGCAACGCTCCAGCGTTGCGCTATGAAAATAACATCACGCTGTTGTACTATCTAGCACTTTCCAGTGCACCTAACCCCCTACACTATAGGTCCCATAGCGAGCTCGCGTGATAGAAA